TAGGCCTCCTGTTTCCACTGAAGTTCCCAAAAGGCATATTTATCGAGGCCTGAGTGGACTGCAGTTTAGATCTCGGTCTGGGTCGCATCATAAACCAAAGCGGGACTCGAACTCGGCTTGTGATACTGCCGCCAGGTAAGTTGTATGATATACTTTTGATACATTAACGACTACTACACACTCCCACGAGTGGCCCTGGGTCACAGGGTTCTTATTCAGGCTCTACTGGTAGTTTCGACACCTACTCACACAAGATATATGTAATGTGGTCGGGTGTTATAACAAATGCAAGTGTGCTTCATCAGCAAGTGGTCTAGGTAGCCTCGAAATCTGCGTATGCCTTGTCACCGACAGATAACCCTGGCAATTTGGGATTATGCTTACATGTCGAAAGTATTCGCTGCACTGCTCGAGTTCGATTCCCGCCAGAGGTGTAGATTAGACCAATGAGTTGAAATTGCAGTCTAACTTTAATTAAAATACCTTTTGGGAAGCAAGGCTAGGTGAAATTCATTTGAAGCATGACGCCTACTCATATCCTTGTGGAAAAATTCAATTACCAGACCTGCAACAGCTTTAACGAAATAGGGGGAATGCAGCTTTTATATCAGATTTACTGGTAATCTCAAAAACCTACTTATAAACAAAAAAAATCATATTTAAAAAGGTTGGTTTTCGCCTCTTTAAACGAAATTAAAGGTACACCGACATGAAAAATCATATTATCTTTTATAAATTGATCATAATCCCTCTTTTACAAGAGACATTAATCGCTCTCTATTTGTTGAGATCTTTAAACTTCGGCGTTGCTTTAAGTAGCTGTGACTGTCCTCCTGCTAACTCCACCCCAATTTCGGGGTTAGTAGCTTCCGAGAGTATCGAAAACTGTTGAAAAGGTCCTTTAGTCACCCTAGATCCCCCAAGGTGAATCGTTCTACAATGAATTGAGTAGGCCGAGGATAGCATTTAATTCAACTTGGTCTTATCCCTAAAAACGTCTTCTCGTCCAGATCTACTGATAGACTCGAAATATACTCTTTTCAATATTAGTTTCATCAACTATGCATCCATAGATGTGACTTGATGTTGACCTACCTTTTGTTTCAATTGAAGAGGCGAGTGAAAAATTCTCGTCAATTGGTCTCAGCGTAAGCGGAGAAGTGATTGCCTGGGATTCGTGTCAATAAGTCTTCGGTGGGGCCAATTTACGAATCCCTTCCACTCGCTTCTTCGGGCAACATGAAATATCTGCCAACATCAAGCCATATTTATGAGCGCATCGCTGATCATCAGAAGTTTTGAACAAAAAGACATTTTAAGAGGCAAAACTACGCAAAATTATCTGGTAGCATGGGGCATATTCAGTGTAATGTAGGAAGATTCAACTATCACCTTTAAAATCTAGCTTTTCTTCTTATAAATGTGGCTTGTCCGTGGAGACGACGAATCGTTAGTTTACGCTTACGACCCGATTTTGAATCGTCTTAGGGGTGCTGATGAGGCTCGAACTTCAACCATTAGTCCTTTAAACGACCTAGGCTGACTCAAGTTCTTCGGCATTTTCGAGGCCCTATGGCCCAAATGTATTTCCTTCATCCTATTCGGCTGCTATTCTGAAAGCTACCGTCTGTCTGCCCCTACGGAGGCTACTGACCACTAGTTTCTTTCGAGAGGCCACACATCTGAGTGGTGTGAAAGAGACAGATCGGATTGATCACAACTGTGTTGACTGTCAAGGCACAGATTACACAATGGAGCTCTTGTACACAGCTTCTGCCTACCGTCCACTTGTGTGCTGTGTATGTGTATAAGTACACTTGTGTGTGTGTGTGTGCCTCTGAAATGCGTTGCCTGAGCTGAGCCTCAAGTTCTCTAGACAGCAGACCGATAGCATTCACCGGTGAGACCTGACAGGTCTACCGTAAGTCGAGGATTTCTCTCGTCTTTCTACAGGCTGTATCGGGCTCCAGATTCCCGGTATGTGGCTCTGCTGTTAGCAGCGTCTGCCTGGACGGCTGTCGGCCTGAGAAGAGGTTGACCATTCTTATCTCTTTCAGCTTCTTTCATCTCCCGCCCATTGAAGTGTTCACTTCGTCTAGCCGTCTCTAGTGCTTGTGTAGCCGTGCACACCTGGTTTCGACAATTTCCTTCCTTCCTTCCCTCCAGGCAGATTCACCCTTCAACAATCTGACACTTGATAAAGTTAGATCTGCGTCAAGAAGTTCGGTGTGTTTTGCCATTGTAGGTCCGAGGAAAAAGGCAAGCCGGATAACACGGACAGATGCCTCGAAAAGGCCAAGAGAGTACTGAGGCAGTCAGATAAGAATGGATTGGGATTGTTTCACTATCTCTCCACTATTTCTCTTATCGTTTTATGAACCCACCTCTGCGGATATGGTTAAAGGTGGGAGGGTAGACAAGAAGCCAACGCCCAGCCTCACCGGCATCAATCCACCTCTACGTCTGACCACAATCCTCTTAACTAACATTGCTTCTCACTCATCCATGCATCCACCTCCCTTGCCGTCTAACTATCGTGCATCCAACCGCCGATCTTTGCCTCCATCTATCCACTCAACATCGAATTACTCGTTTACTAATTCGTCCGGTTGTGGGGTTCAGATTCGAGTGAAGTCATGGTTTGGTCACTGGGTCGTATCATCAGACCAAAGTGGCAGAATAGACAATATATCACTTGTAATAGGAATAAGTGACGCGGAGGCCTGTCAGAGTTAGGTTAGTAAGAAAAGCAATCAAATGGCAAATGTGCAAATAAGACATTTGTGCACTTGCACAATCCACACTGTGGATGCATTCACCCAATTTGGCCATTCTCCTCAAGTTTATGCGAATGGCTCGCCGAGCTTTTGTATCCTCGGCGTTGTTGCAGTTTGTCAGCCGTGGCCAATGATACTAGAGCGGTTGTAGATTATGCATTTTTCCCCTATGCCGGACCAGTGATGAAGAGGTATATTTGGTCTATTACAGTTAGCTGCGTAGGTGACCCTTCGAAAATCACCGATTGGCCAAATGCACGGTTGACAAGACGCCAGGCCCCGGTCGGCAGGGCAACTTGTATGCTTGGTCATACTGACGAGTTCGCATGGGGGTGTGAGCCGCACGCATTCAGACACTGTATGGCCGACAGATTGGTATGCAATCCAGCACGCCTACTTCCAATCCGTCGCCGTTAAACAACTCTGCCTAAATAAGTCACATGCATATGTATGTCCAGAGTCTCTTTAGGCATCGGTAGCAGGCACACAGACACAGACACACACAGGCAGATATTTGGTCACCAAGCCTACGAAT